GTCCGCGGAGGCTCGGGCGCTGCTGGGCACTTCACCCACTGTCACCCGGGAAGCGGGCGGGGAAGGAAGGCTCGGAAGACACTGCTGTCTGGGATGCCTGGTGGGAGTGGGAGTGGAGAGAGCCGGCTCTGGGCAAGCTCTCCCCCTACGACCGCCACTACTTGTTCGCCTTGAGTTTTGCGTGTATATGTACCACCAAGATCTGAACATTAAAGTTTAACCCTGGGCACGTGGTTGTGAACGCACCTTAGCGAGCAGGGACAGGGCAGTGGACACGGGCTGGGGACTGGGACCTTCCCTCCGGAGCCTTAGTGAAGGACCTGTGCTTCCCTAAGAAACTAGTGTCTGTGAACTAATTGTTGAAAGCCAAGACTTCTTCAGCCTGTGGTCTTCCATCACGAGATAATTTAGGAATAAAAGTTTGAGAAAAAGTTTAAAAAGTGTCTTAAAAGAGGAGGGAGAACTGTGTAGGTGCAGGAAAACCGCCACTCCCCGTCAGAGTACAAATTTGGTTTGCTTTCACCAGAAAAGGGCTGATAAAAACCCTGTTTGTTTTATTGCCCTTTGGGCGACACCCAGGAGATTTCAGAAACAGCCCGTAGGGGGAAGAAAGCTCCCGGTTAGTGTTGGCATGGGGCTGACTTCTCTCAGCTCCTGAAATTGAACTTGAGGGGGTCCCCCCAAGCACTTTTTAGGTTCAGATAGGCCAAAGTGAGAATCGTTTTTACGAGTGGTGGTGTGAGAAGGAGTTAAATTCATAATCTGAAGGCAGCTGTGGCCAAAAGCCGAATGCCAACTTAATATCAGGATACTTATTGCACTTGCTCCAGGGTCCTATTTGTGCATAAGGGCATTCAAAATAGACTTACCGCTGTCTCGCAAGACGTCTCTGTTAGGCAGGAGTGCCTAGGAGGGGGAGTGGGGAGGAGGCACTTGGGAAATGCCACAGTAAGCCCTTCTCTCTACTTGGGGAAGTGTTGGTGATCATATGCACACCATCTGCATTTCAATACATTGTTTCTCTTGTGCTTGTCTCATATAAAGTCAAGAGGTACGTTTTCATCCCTTCCTGTGCCCGAGCTGCAAAGGAAGCATTCTTCCAAGGTAACTAATATGGATCTCATTCTGTAACACCGACAACTTATTCAGGTAGAAGGTGAATGGTGGGTGCATTTTTCTGTCTGTAGCATAAATGCCAAGGAGGCCATTAGTGGGTCTGGGAACATTGCTGGGCCCGCTCTGCCTTGTTGCAGAGTCTCAGGTTCTCCTCCATGTTTCTTCTCCTAGATCCCTTAGGATTCAATTCACCAGGCATTATTCAGGCATAACTCCCACTGACTTGGGGTGGGGAGCGGGGATTTGTTTCTCATGGACTCACCATTGACAGTTTTATACACTCTGTTCTTGTACTGCTGCCAGGCTTGTCCCCGGTCACTGGGGCAGTTCATTTTGCCTAAAATCTGATAGAGAAGTTAAGCTTCTATTGCCCACAAGATTATGTTTAGGGTGGCTGCACTTGTAAATGCCCTGCATTTCTTTCCTGTACGGGACTGTAATTCTTAAGCCATTATGCGATCAGGTCTGTTTTCCTTTAACAGACTCGGGGACTTAGAAAAATGAGAGCAAGTCTGGCTACAGAGCTTTGTTCATTTTTAGGTATTTGCTTTAGGAATTAGTCTGGTTTCACTGTTCAGTGTCCCTGGCCACCGATTCCATGGGAAACCCTTTGTTCATGCTTCCAACTGGTGTCCAAAACCTCTATCTTCACCAACATTCCCACTGTTTCTTTCTGTCGTGACTGTGTATAGTAGTCACAGGAGTTCATCCGTTGTGCAATAGTTGACACGATTTTCCCTCCCAGCACTTACTTGCTGTAGGAGTTCTAGCTTTCTTCCAAACACGTGCCCTCTGGAGGAGGCCTGTGTTGCTGCAGTTTTGAAGTCTAAGGTGCAGAACTAGGAGAGCAGTCTTGGGCCCACTCTCCAAGGGGATGAGTGTTGTTTGCACATCTGATAATGCGAGTTGTTCCCTCACCGTAAGGTCAGTAGTGAGCTTCTGAAGTGGCCGCGTCCTCATGAGGTATGCGCATGTTTTGACAGTGGGCAGCGGGACAGTGGCTCACAGTGAGTGATGGAGTGGGGACTGTGTAATCCGCTTGTGAGTCAGTATACAGAGTTGGGAAAGGAAAACAGTCTCTCTATTACCAAGCGTGGTGAGAAAATATTTGCCTCCCTCAATTTTCCATTCTGCTTTGCCATTTGGGTGAAGCGATGCACGAACATACTTAGCCGAGAACTTTAAAAGATAAATATGTGTAAGAGGGATTCTTATCCTGTACAAAGGCTTATTCTTAAAAACGAAATGTTGTAGACCTGAATTTCCTTCATCCAGATTTAGATACAGTCAGGTAAGACTTGGACATCTTCATTCCTTGTTCAAGGTGTGCATTTTCCAGACAGTTCTGTAAGGGTAAGGTGATTCATATGTAAAGAGAGAACTTAAAGTTATGTAACCCATTTAGTTACCTTTCCAGCTGTGAGTTTATGAATGTTTTTATTACATCTGTTTACATTCTAGAGTGTTTCTGTTTAAATAACTGGGCATGGCACAGGCTTACCTAGCGCTGATAAAAATGGAAATAATGATTATTTGTCTCCTGGGGAATTATTCTATAATCAGGCGAGTCGAGAAATTAATGCAAAGCCACCTACCTGATTTTAAAGCATCACCGTTCTCCTTGGTGTGTGATTAATGGGGAAGGGGCTAAGGAAGGTGTGAGGGCCTCGGGAGCAAGCAGCAGGTCAGTTCCCACTCTCCTGAGAGCATTCACACCCAGACATCCTTCCTTCCATTCTTGAAAGCCGCCCTCTGCTGGAGGCCTTTGCTTTCTTTGATGACTGATCAGGGAAATCTTGTCACCCAGATAAGCAAGGGATTAACATGGTACAGTTTCCTTTTTCTTTTCCCCAAGGCCCCCACCCTCCAGAGTTTCCTAAAGAAAAGCCCCTGCCTGAGCTGTGGCTGGCTGCACAGATGCTATCTGTGAACGGCATAGCGCCTGCCCTGGATTTTTGTGACCCTAGAAAATTATAAAATTATAGAATCCTAGACCTGAAAAGACTAGCGCTGAGAAGACTAAAGAGATCACCTGGTGCCCTGGCCAGTGTGGCTGGGCGACATCCCGTGCACAGAGAGGTTGCTGGTTGGATTCCTGGTCAGGGCACATGCCCAGGTTGTGGGCTCAATCCCCAGTGGGGGGAGGGCGCATGTGTGCAGGAGACAGCTGTTCAATGTTTCTCTCTTTTCCCTTCCTCTCTAAAAATCAATAACTATTCTTTAAAAGAGAGAGAGAGGGAGAGAGAGTGATATCACCTGTATTCATAACAATTTTTAAGCCACCCTAAACACACATTAGGTAAAGGAGTGGACAATTTAAGAAGTTAGAACTTCAATATGATGTCAGTTTTAAACCCTTCTGAGGACCTGAGTGCACACAACTTTATTTCCCAATTTCTGATCAGGTTTTTGGGTTTTTTTAGTGATTCAATGCAGAATAATTTAAGCTGCATTAATTTCTAAATCTGAATTAAATTTTTTAAAAATGCAGTTTTATAGCTTTTAGAGTTACATAGAAACTTTAATCAAGATACAAAATGTCAGTCTAACCGGCATGGCTCAGTGGTTGAGCATGAACCAGGCGGTCATGGTTTGATTCCCGGTCAGGGCACATGCCCGGGTTGTGGGCTTGGTCCCCAGTGTGGGGACTGCAGGAGACAGACAATCAATGATTCTCTCTCATCATTGATGTTTCTATAGTCAAGTAAGAAGGAAACATGAGAAATAGGATAATAAATATTACACTTTTTTGGCAAACATGAGGAAAGGAAATCTTAAGTTTTCAGAGTAAGATATAAAGAATTGCCCACAAATATCAACTCACCTTAAAATGTCTCCCTTACATTTCATGAATGTGAAAGAACTTAGAAAGCTGAATTTGTACAGAAATTTGTTTGCCCAGCTGGTGTAGCTCATTGATTGAGTGTTGACTTATGAACCAGGCGGTCATGGTTTGATTCCCGGTCAGGGCACATGCCCGGGTTGTGGGCTTGGTCCCCAGTGTGGGGACTGCAGGAGACAGACAATCAATGATTCTCTCTCATCATTGATGTTTCTATCTCTCCTTCTCCCTTCCTCGCTGAAATCAATATATGTATTTTTAAAAGGTAGGAAATGTCAGGACAAGGTTGTACCCCACAAGTTAATAGATTTAAGTAATAATATAGGGAACTTGTAAACAATGTTTCAAGCTAATAGAATCCCTGGTTTTTGAGGTATTGAAAAAGTTTATTTCTAAGGGATTAGAACTTCACCTTGCCCTGTGATTTTGCAGTTCTTATAGATGGCAGACTCCTTAACTGGCTGAATGCCCAGAATTTAACTTGTAAGGACTCTGAATTGGTAATATTATCTAATACTCATTAGATAATACTCTGTCTAGAATAGTAATATTCTTTGGTTCACTCTTTAGCCCTCTCTAGCAGCACTGATTTGTAAGTGACTTGTAAGTTATCCTAGATGTTCTTGGCTTAGTCATCCATCATTTTGCTGAAGAATAAATTTGATCCTATGTCAAGAGGCTGTGGCTAGTGAGAGGGCCTAGCTAACTGCCCAGCGCTCACACTCAGGAAAAGACTTGTTCTAATTTCTCCATACCCACTAACTCTCATGAACTGACTTGTAAAAACATTGTTTCTTTTTTGAAAGACAGATTTTGAAAAATCAACAACAAAGAGAGGTATGGTCATGCTTCAAGGCCTTTGAAGGTGTTTTCTTTTACATTTTTTATTGGTTTTTAGAGAGAGAGGAAGGGAGAGGGAGGGAGGGAGGGAGGGAGGGAGGGAGAGAGAGAGAGAGAGAGAGAGAGAGAGAAACATTGATGTGAGAGCAATAAATTGATAGGCTGCCTCCTGCACACACCTGTACTGAGAATGGGGTCCATAACCTAGGGACACGTGTCCTGACCAGGAATCAAAGCAGCAACCTTCTGTGCACTGGATGATGCCCAATCAACTGAGCACACCAGCCAGGGCAAAAGTCTTTTTTAAACAGGGGTTTACTATAGGCAAAGCACTTGGAAAAATGAAATTAGAGTTAATTTTGCCTGAGAGGGGGTTAATTCATGAATGCAAGGCTCCTAGATGGATCCTAGTTCCAGACTCTTTCTTACTGTTCCCTTCCCTGGTACCCTTGCCAAAGGACTATTTCAGGGTTTGGACAAATGGATAAAGACAAGCCCCACTGGAGCGATTCTGCTACAGTAGATAATTCACACTCTCTATTCCCAGCATCCAGTTAACATGCAAATTTCAGGTTTGGGGTTTGAAGATGCATGATCTAGATAATAATATGAGCATATTTTATGAGCACTGTTATGTTCATCATGCACACCAAAAATATTATTGACAACTTATGATAATACATAGCATAATAAGATCTCATCTCCTTCCTCTCTCTCCCCTAAAAATTATATTTTGAAAACAGGAATACTTGGCAGCTTGCACCTCTGTCTGGAGTCTGTGTTTTCTTTCTTAAGACTAGCTGAAGTAACACTTGGCCTACCACATCTGCTGCTCAATGTTAGCCGGCATTAACGTTCTCCACATTAGTCGAAGGAAGGAGGGGGTGGTGTCTCGGGGCCCAAGATACAGCCTCGTGGGAGGTACATGATTCCTCCTAGTACATATCACACTTGGCAGGGATTCTGGTGTGGGGGTACTTAGTCACCTAGACAGCAACTTACATAGAGAAAAGGCTGTCCAAGCCCTAGATATGCCCAAGAGCTGGGTCCTCGCCCAGGAGATGGGAGCAATCAGGTAGAGAGCCTGAAGTCAACATGGTTGTCCTCACCACACGTACCCCACCTATAAAGTTGGCCTGTACTAGCCTTAGCACCCCCTGCCTTGTCTACCTGGAACTTTCATCTTTTTTTTTAGTTTATTTTTTATTGTCAGTGGTACAGATGTCCCCCATTTCTCCCCTACTCCCCCCTCAGCCCAACCCCCACCCCACCCCAGGCCTTCACCTCACTATTGTCTGTGTCCATGGGCTATGCATATATGCACCTAGTTCTTTGGTTAAAGAACTTTCAGTCGTTTTTGCATGCACCCCATGATTTAAAGGATTTAGAGAAATAATCAGATGTAGTTCCTGCCCACAAAAGGACCCATGGATCCTTCCTATTTGAAAAAATGGAGAGAAGCAGTTTCAAGGAATCAGGAAGCCCCAAGGAATTGGCTTTCCCATCCCTGCCTTTCCCATCCCTGTCCTCCCTGACAGAAGTAGAATCAGACAAGCACACCCCCACCAGGGATGGAGCCCACAACCCCGGGGGCACATGCCCTGACCAGGAATTAGACTGGCAACCTTCTGGTACACTGGATAATGCCCAACCATCCAGTGCAGCAGAGGGGAGAAAGAGACAAGCACAAGGGTCCCAGAGGTGGGTGGGGCACCCACATTTTTAGAAATACCATGTGTGGATAATGGGGATATGGACTGGCGTGCTCAGCTGGACTAGATCAGCTAGCTCAGTGGCACCCCAAAATCGCAAATGGGTCTGTACTTCCAAAGAGGGAGAGGGTGAGAATAATGGAACAGTTTCCTTCTGACTCCTGCTACATTCCACTAGCCTCTTGAGACCTAACCCCTCCTTGTCCTAGTTTTGGGATGTCTGAGCATGAATGAATTACCTCACCTGTTAGTCAGCTTCCCTTGAATAGAAGGTTCAGAGCCATTCAAAACCGACTGATGCTTCAACATCTGGGGAAGTTCTACTTCCCATCTTCTTTTTCTTGTTGTTTTTCTTGTGGGGTGATTGATCTCAGGCTTTAAACATACCTTTCAGGATGAAATCCAAACTCCTTCATCTAGACTAAGCCCTTCACAATCCAGCTCTTGCCTGTTGCCGCCGTCACTTCTTCTGTTCCACCCTTGCGGAGCTAAGCATGATTCCTGAAATGACGTGCCCTGTTGCAGGGCTCCTTGTCCTCACAGACTGTTGCTTCCTGTAAGAGGCCCCTTCACTCTGTCTTCTGTGACCTAACTTCTGTTCGGCTTCAGCACCCATCTCCAGCCTCACCTCCTCTGGAACCCCTCCCCTGTTCTTCTTACTCCCATAGCTGACTTCATGGCCTTTCTCTGAGCTACCACATCACCCTCATCCATCTCTGTCATTAGCGCTCAGCAGGTATCATTCAAAAACAGGATTTTTTTGAGCCACGCCAATCATTCGCTCAGTCTTTCATGCACACAGTAAATAAATAAATTGGTGTCGAGTGGCTAGCATAGACCCAAATTCAAGCCATTTAGACTAGCTGGGACCATAGATACAAAGGCCTGAAAACGTAACCAACAGGGACAGTCATGATGCGATCAACCTTTGACTAAGGTCCTGCTAGTATAAGACAAAACCTATAGGAAGAAGAAATATTTTATATGTTAGAGGCCTGACTACTCTGGCACTAAATTTATATTAGTTAAGGTTGTTCTAAATTCAAAGCAAAAATCCAAAGAAAGACACAAAAAAATGCAAAGAAGTCTTATATCCTTCGAAATGCACCCAGTATTTAGAGGCCATGGGGGTCCCCATACGAGTGACACCGTGGAGCTATCCCTCCTTCTGCCGTGTCACTCAGCAAGCTGAGGGATTTAAATTTACTCTCTGCGTGAGCAAGTTGCTCTGTAGATGCTCCAAGCTCATGCTTTCATGAGAATGAGAGGAAAGAAAGGCACGAAGGTTTGGTCTGAAGCACAAAGAAGGCTCAAAATTACCCGGAAATTGAGGCTGGTCCATCAGTTCATCTGGGGATCGATGACCCTACGCACACTGCCCTGCAGTGGACCGTCCTCAGGGGCATCTTCCACATAGGGAAGATGGGAATGAGCACCTGACTTGGTTTGGACACCAGGCCATGGGAATGTTCCAAGGCCAAGCCCTTGCACTGTAGTGAAACCATCATCTCGGGATTCCTCTCCACACCCTGATTCCTGTGGAGGGTTTGCAGACTCAGAAACAATGACAGTCCAGCTGGCATGGCTCAGTGGTTGAGTGTCGACCGATGAACCGGGAGATCTCGGTTTGATTCCCGGTTAGGGCACACGCCCCGGTTGTGGGCTCGATCCCCAGTGGAGCAGCGTGCGGGAGGCAGCTAATCAATGATTCTCTCTCTGTCGCTCCCTCTCCCTTTCTCTCTGAAGCCTACACATATATATATGAAACAGTGACAGGCATGCTGTTGACTGCGTCTGCAGGAAACCAGCACTTGGCCCCTTGCCCTCCTGACCCTCTTGTCTTTGTTCCCACAGAGAGTGGTGCTCAGCATGGCGGGGATTCCAGGGCTCCTCCTCCTCCTCGTCCTCCTCCTCCTTCTCTGTGCTGTCGGGCAGGTGAGCCCCTCCGGAGCCCACTGGAAACCCACCTGGCCTGCTTACCGCCTCCCCGTCATCTTGCCCCAGTCCACTCTCCACTTAGCCAAGCCAGACTTCGGGGCCGAAGCCAAATTGGAAGTGTCCTCCTCATGTGGACCCCAGTGTCATAAGGGAACCCCACTGCCCACGTACGAAGAGGTCAAGCAGTACCTGTCTTATGAAACGCTCTATGCCAACGGCAGCCGCACAGAGACCCAGGTGGGCATTTATGTCCTCAGCAGTGGTGGCGGCGAGTCTTCGGGCAAGTCCCGGAGGAAGCGGCAGATTTACGGCTACGACAGCAGGTTCAGCATTTTTGGGAAGGACTTCCTGCTCAACTACCCCTTCTCGACGTCGGTGAAGCTATCCACAGGCTGCACAGGCACCCTGGTGTCGGAGAAGCACGTCCTCACGGCTGCCCACTGCATACACGATGGCAAAACCTACGTGAAAGGGACCCAGAAACTCCGCGTGGGCTTCCTGAAGCCCAAGGTTAAAGATGGTCGAGGGGCCAAGAACTCCAGCGCAGCCGTGCCCGAGAAGATGAAATTTCAATGGATCCGAGTGAAACGCACCCATGTGCCCAAAGGTTGGATCAAGGGCAATGCCAACGACATCGGCATGGATTATGACTATGCTCTCCTGGAACTCAAAAAACTCCACAAGAGAAAGTTCATGAAGATCGGGGTGAGCCCTCCCGCCAAGCAGCTGCCGGGGGGCCGAATCCACTTCTCTGGTTATGACAACGACCGACTGGGCAACTTGGTGTACCGCTTCTGCGACGTCAAAGATGAGACCTATGACCTGCTCTACCAGCAGTGTGACGCCCAGCCCGGGGCCAGTGGGTCAGGGGTCTACGTGAGGATGTGGAAGAGACAGCAGCAGAAGTGGGAGCGAAAAATTATTGGCATCTTTTCAGGGCACCAGTGGGTAGACATGAATGGTTCTCCACAGGATTTCAACGTCGCTGTTAGGATCACGCCTCTCAAGTACGCACAGATTTGCTATTGGATTAAAGGAAACTACCTGGATTGCAGGGAGGGGTGACACGTTCATCCTTCCTGCGGCACTTAAAGTTCTTCGTATCCTTATTTTAGGAGAGGCCACATGTTGTCATTGGTGTGTGTGTGTGTGTGTGTGTGTGTGTGTGTGTGTGTGTGTGTGATGTGTCATAATATCTTTTACACCATTTTTTAAAATTGCAAGATGACTGGCATCATGATTTGAAAATCGGTTTGTGTATCATGTCATATCATTTGAGCAGTTGGAAAGCCTACTTTTGCATAGAAATAAAAAGCATACTGATGTTTGGGGCAATGGGGACTCTTTAGCGATTAAGTTAATCTTTCACTTTTTGAGAATTTTGATTTTTGTTTCCTCTGAACTTGTTGCAAAGGTTTATATTAAGTATGTGGCATATAGGAGATATAATTTCTAATGTGTGTATAGTGTGTACTTTCTCCTGAGAGTCATCTTATTTTTGTTCTGTTTGTTTTTTAAATTCCTAATCACTAATGTTTCCAGATGGCAGTGTTCCCGGCTGCATACAACGCATGGTACCTTTCACAGCACGTCCGAGACAGGCAGTTCCCATATTTTGGACTTGGAGCATCTGCGCAGTAGTCCTTGATCAGTAAAATAATTTGTTGACGATGTTAGTACACATTAAATTATATCTTACAGTCAGTCAGTACCCAAGATGTTTTTGGTTTTGAAGTAGTTCCTCTTCTAAAGATGGTTACTCTTCGTTTGGGGAGGACTTTGCATATGGCCCACCCCAGAGTAGGCTATATGGTTGATGCCAGTGCTTCCAGGATTTAACAGGATTGCACTCACATTTCTTGAACTAGCTGTTTTTTCGGAAGACGAGAATCGGGGCCTCATTCGAGCAGGCTGTGTTGCTTCCCAGCAAACAGTGTGGTCACACTACAATCATTGCATTTCCCCCCTGGAGTGTAGCACATCTCATGTTTTATCATTTGGATGGAGTAATTGAAAATGAATTAAATTCCAGAGAACAATGGGTGCATTGCTCGGCAGATGTCACGGCAGAATGAGGACTTGTTTGGAGCCTGGCACAGTCACACGGCCTCATCAGAATTACTGTGCATACTTTTCAGGGTGCTTTCGGGGAGCTGCGTGCTTGGGTCATTTGGACACTTTTCTCTTGTACTTTACTTATGTTATAGTAAAAATATTTGGAAGGTGCTATAAGAAAAAACAACATGACTTTTTTTCCCCACTAGCTTTAAAAGGGCCTGTTTTACTGGAATACTCTAAGCTGCAGGCACATAGTACGGTAGCAACGATGGCAATTGGGAGAAGGCAAAATGGATCAGGATCATCACTCCAATAAGTGCCTTTATGAACGTTTTATCAATAGGAAAATCACAGGAGGTACAGGAAAGAGTTTGACTTATTTTATGTTTTCATTCTTTGTCTCTCAGCCTGAACACTTCTTTTTAAATGGATTATAAATGGGTCACAAGGCAGATGTTTGCTGTTCTCGCTCCCCGGGTAACTTCAGTCCGCCTTCTGACTATTTGTGAGGACATCCAAATACAATACTGATGCTTAAACCTCCCCCAGGTGGTTTGGCTTGTGTGTCTCTTGAACTTTTCAGAAGGATAATCCTGCTAAGGCACTCAAGAAATGTACAACCATGGTGCTTTCTTTAAATCTCATAAGAAATACTATGCATAGCATCCTAGCCGGTTTGGCTCAGTGGATAGAGAGTCGGCCAGCGGACCAAAGGGTCCCAGGTTCAATTCCAGTCAAGGGCACGTATTTTCGTTGCAGGCTCCTCCCTGGCCTGGGCCCTGGTCAGGGCTCATGCAGGAGGCAACCAATCAATGTGCTTATCTCACATCGATATTTCTCTCTGTCTTTCCCTCTCTTTTCCACTCTTTCTAAAAAATCAATGGAAAAATATCCTTGGATAAGGATTAACAAAAAAATACTATGCGTAGCAAAGAGGCGCAGGGCCACCAGGAATCTTCTGAGTACAATTTGCTTTGAGAGAACATTATATTCTCCAAAAGCATTCAAACCCACTGACAATATGATTTGATTTGGGAACATTTCTCCATCTCTATGTCTGGTATTTGGGGGTTTTGTTTGGTTTTGCTTTTGCTTGGTGTAAAGAGGTGTTCACTGAACACCTAGATCGGAACTGATTTAAAAAAAAAAAATCAATAAATACGCCTTGATTTCTTCATGTCGTTCTTGTGCAAAGGTTAAACTTTCCTCAGCAAGGAGAGGCAGTGGCACAAAGCCAAAATAGCATCATTGTTTAGTGCTCAAGTAGATGTAACTTCACTAAAGAATTGTACAACGTGCTCCAGGCAACGTACCTCAAGACTGTAAAATCATTCAACGTGTCCATCTTTTCAGTGGTAATAGAAGGAAGCACTGTATTAAACTGTCATGGAAGTTGAAATAAAAAAAGGACTCATGATATGAAGATAATTCGTGTATTAATTATACACCCTAAGCATATATTCCCAGTAAGATGAGTAGAATGTTTCCTAAAGTGTGTGCCTTAACCACTCGTCCCTCCACATTTTCTACCAAAAATAAAGAGGGCACCGTCACCAAGGAGGAGGGAGATGCCCCTCAGTAGCCCCCCTTTATCAGGGATTCACATGCTTGTTTGCACATGAAAAGCTCTAAGCAGTCCTGTACTGGAGACATGTTAATGATTTAATATCTGCATTTCAATAAACATCTTTGATCACCACAGCCTTGTTTTCTACTTATGAGCAATTTAGTGTTCTAATAAATACATTCTGGGGATTGCTGTGACAGCCTTTGGGCCCAGGTGCACAAAGTCTGATGAGCTCAAAGTGCTGTCAGGTGTCAGTGCCTTTTGGGTTTAACCAGAACCTCGTATCCAGATTTGAAAGTGTTTAGATGAAACGGCAGAGAAGAAACTTGAAAATCATTTGTTGCTGAGTATCAGAAGGTGGTGGCAGAATTTGGGGCACATATTTTCCGTAGACTTTATTTGGAATTTTGAACTTTATAAAGGAAGTAGTCCCTCCCCCCAATACAGTTAATACTACTGTATTGTATATATTT